TATGTAGATTTTATTCTATTTGGCTCTTAAGTAAATGAGCAGTTTGTGATCTATTTTTTTGTTGAACATTCTGTCACTCAAACTGCAGCTTCATGGAGTCATGTTTTTCCTTTCTCTCCAGGTGGTGGTGCTGTAGGACATACACAATATTCAATAATCATTGAAGATCTACCATGATGTAGAATAGTTTCAGGCCATTTTGTGTCATTTCTGGCAACAAAATGGGTTTGAAGTGTTGTCAGGATTAAAATGTCCAGAATATTATTTTATTTTGCATGTGAAGTGGACACTATTAGAAACAGGAAACAAACTGTGAAATGGACAAAATGCTACTAAAAAATCAGCTGTTATAACATCTGTCATTTCATGCCTCACAAAGGCATCATGTCAATTTGATAATGAATCTGACAAAAGCAGCCTTTATGCCAATAACTGCTTATTGGAATAAGCCTTTATAAATGTGTTTGTAGGTTTATGTCAGCTATCATGAAAGGCTTATGTGATTGTCATGTCTCCTTATGAACATGATGAGCAAAGTATTAGCTTTTATTTTTAATTTCATATCAATCACTGAAATGCTAATCATGCTAAATGTGCTCTGAAGCAAGGATGTGGGAAGGAGGAGTGCTGAGTGGGATCCAGCACCTCCAGATTTCAGGAGAAATAAAATAACAAAAGAACACTTTAAAATATTTTGTGCTCATAAAATATAAGCAAGAGAAGCAAAATAATATTGTTTTAAAAACTTCACATTTTCAGCTAACATAATTATCTCCCATCCAAACATTGTAATAATCTCTCTGTAGATGTTGATATGTAGTTTGACTACAGCTGCATTGCTCTTTAAATCAACAATCTGATTGGTCAGTGCACAGCAAAGTGAGAATCACCTGTGAGTGCTGCTCTGGCTTTATGAGTACAGCTGCATCTTGTATCTTCTCAATACAATTCAAATGGAAAAAGAAAAAAAAAACACTATTTAGCATGACATCATGATATTTATCACTTATGTGCTGCTAAAAATGTCAGCACCTCTAACTTAAAACACCTTCCTATGTCTCTGCTCTGTAGAGTGAAATGTGGAGAGCTGTTCATTCACTTATTACTCCATACAGTTAAGACTGAACTGAATAAACATTTGCATAATACAGAATGTGTAGCCTGACTGATGAGCAGCTACAAAAAGCAACAAAGCAAATGAATAAAGCAAGAAATTAAATGTGAATAAATTTCTCAGGCCATGAAATTAAAGCGAATGTATGTAAAGTAAGCAGTTTTTCTTTATAATTTTTAATGAAAAAGAAAGCAAAGTGGTTAAGAATGCAATTAGTTAAAGAGAACATTGTGCACTTCACTATTAAAAAGTAGCACATGTAACAAAGAATACAAACTTTCATCTTCAAAAACAATATAAAAGCATCTGGTGTTGTTTAATCTTCAGCTGAGTTTAAGAAGCTCAAATTTCATTTCCTGAGTAGATGGATTATTTGGGTCTCTGTCAGATGATCTGTCCCTCTTTCTCAGACACCTCTACCACATCAACATAGCCTGAAAGTAAAAGTTGTGGAATAAGTGACAAATATCTTAAAAACAGGCATGATATCACTCCACATATACATCATTATCATTGCAGTGTAGTTCATCATGTATGTAACGTTACAGTGATGCAAATCCATGTTTAACTAACAGCACTCTGCAATGAAGTGTGTAAGAAAAAAAGCAAGAAAAAATAAAGTAGAAAGGAGACTCACCTGCTGAATCTCCAAAATCCTGTCCAGGAGTGATGACATCATCATAGTTCTCTGGTGTGTACACTGTACAAACATATGTGGAAAAATTATGATACCATGAAGAATAAATATGGTTTTGTTATTGAACTGATGCTGGTTCACGATATGTTCAAATTAATTTTCAATTTTTAGAGAAACAAACCTGCTGTAATGTGTAGATTTTCTCCAGCAGGAATGGCGTCATCATAAATCTCCACCTTGTTCTCTGTAAAAATGTGGAAATAAATGTTTTAGTGCCACTTAGCTTGATTTTTTAGCTTAATTTTTACAGTTTCGTCACATGATAAGGTGTAACTGTCACAGTGTCTGAGTTCAGTATACAGTAAACAATGGTGAATTGAAGTCATCTAAATCCAAACTACTCTACAATATCCACAATATAGAGAAGGGAAGGAGTAGCTTCCACTGCAACTCACTGTTAACACAATATTTTAGGACATGCATGGAGGAGAGCGTTAACTGCTTTATTGTGTATGTGACTTAACAGATGTCTCCAACTGGCTATCACTGTTTTGTAATAGCAGAGAGAGATTAATCCTGATTTATCCTGGTTTCTGATCATTTTCTCTATGTGTAAATCCTACTCTATCAGTCGTAATACCAGCATTTGTTTATTCTACTCAAACCAAACCAAAGCTGCTTTGCTGCAGTACAGACGAGTGACTTTTCAATGCAAGAATTATAAAACAGGAACACACTTGCTCCTCTAGCCGTTGTCTGTCCAGCAGAAATGACATCATCATAGTTCTCTGGAGTGTCTCTAGTTCCCACCTCACCTAAATCAAATACAAAACATGTTTCACAAAGAGTTAATTAATCTCGTCATAAAGTCTTTGAATGAAGTGATCTCTATAAAGGCACCCAGTAATGCAATGACTAATGCGAGAGTGTCAGATTTAATCAGCTACAGAAGAGAAATCAACAATCTATACAAGCCTGGAAGTCCTGGCTAAAGAATTCATTTGATTATTTGAGCATTTTTACAATTAATTACAGTTCTAATATTTATCAGTTGAATGGAGTTTAACACACATGTGTTCTGGTCCTCTTACCTGAGAGAAGCTCCTCATCTCCTGAATGCTGTTCTTCAGAGAGGATACTTCCTGTTAGAAATGCGCTCAGAATGTCAATGTCAAACAAAAGCACATAAAAGCTCCTATTAATCACAGTGAACTGTGCCGTAGCCAAAGTACAAGCTATATATAGAGAGAGCAATAAGAAAACAAGCTTTAGGTGAGCCGTTAGCCATTAAAACTCAGGAAAGAGTGACCTCTACAGACGGGGAGGGGAATCTCCAGCCAAGAATGTGAGGCTCTCTCTCTGTCCAGTCACTTATTTCTGAAAACTAGCTAATAGCTAATGTATTGCTAACTAACAGCAAAGATGGCAAGTTAACTGCTGTGTTAAAGTCTCACCATTTTCATCATCTTTGTTGACATTGTTATCTTCTCTTGTAGCAACTAAGCTGGTCAGCTATTACAAAATAATACCAGTTATTATGCTTCATACTAATGCAAAATAAAGTTTCTGCGAGTATTTGGCACAGCCCTCCTCATCATATATATATATATATATATATATATATATATATATATATATATATATATATATATGATGAGGTGGAGGAGTTTAAGTATCTCGGGGTCTTGTTCACGAATGATGGGAAGAGGGATCGTGAGATCGACCGCAGGCTGGTACAGGTGGCAGCAGTAATGCGGTCGCTGTACCGGACTGTAGTGGTGAAAAGGGAGCTGAGCTGTAAGGCGAAGCTCTCTGTTTACCGGTCGGTCTACATCCCGACCCTCACCTATGGTCATGAGCTATGGGTAATGACCGAAAGAATGAGGTCGCGAATACAAGCGGCGGAAATGAGCTTTCTTCGCAGGGTGGCAGGCTACACTCTATTGGATGGGGTGAGAAGCTCGGCCATCCGGGAGGAGCTCAGAGTAGAGTCGCTACTCCTCCGCATTGAGAGGAGCCAGCTGAGGTGGTTCGGGCATCTGATCCGGATGCCCCCTGGACGCCTCCCGGTGGGGGTGTACCAGGCACGACCTACCGGGACAAGACCCCACGGTCGTCCTAGGACGCACTGGAGGGATATTATATCTCCAGGTTGGCCTGGGAGCGGCTTGGGGTCCCCGGTTATGAGCTGGAGGAAGCTGCGGGGGACAGGGTTGTCTGGGATTCTCTGCTCTCCCACCTGCTACCGTGACCCTAGCTGGACTAAGCGGTTAAAGACAATGATGATGATATATATATATATATTTACTGATCAGGCATAACATTATGAGCACCTCCTTGTTTCTGCGCTCATTGTCCAATTTATCAGCTCCACTTACTATACAGGTGCACTTTGTTGTTCTACAATTACAGACTGTAGTCCATCTGTTTCTCTGCATACTTTGTTAGCCCCCTTTTACCCTGTTCTTCAGTGGTCAGGACCCCCATGGATCCTCACACAGCAGGTACTATTTGGGTGGTGGATCATTCTCAGCACTGCAGTAACACTGACGTGGTGGTGGTGTGTTAGTGTATGTTGTGCTGGTACGAGTGGATCAGACACAGCAGGGCTGCTGGAGTTTTTAAACACTGTGCCCACTCACTGTCCACTCTATTAGACACCCCTACCTTGTCAGTCCACCTTGTAGATGTAAAGTCAGAGATGATAGCTCATCTGCTGCTGCACAGTTTGTGTTGGTCATCCACTAGTCCTTCTGCAGTGGTCACAGGACGCCGCCCACAGGACGCTGTTGGCTAGATATTTTTGGTTGGTGGACTATTCTCAGTCCAGCAGTGACACTGAGGTGTTTAAAAACTACAGCAGCACTGCTGTGTCTGATCCACTCAGACCAGCGCAACACACACTAACACACCACCACCACGTCAGTGTTACTGCAGTGCTGAGAATGATCCACCATCTTACATGTTTCCAGGAACTGCATATTATCAGCTAATTGTACTGACAATGATGTTTATTCATGTTATCTATGTAGGAACTTTAGGAAGCTCTTAACCTTCAACATTCTTGCTACTTGTTACATAAAATCATCCCAGCCTGCAGCAACCAGCTCAACCAATGTTAGGCAGGAATTCTCACAACCTTCATGATTACAAACTCCAGTATTTTTAAGGAGACATAAAAAGGAACAAATAAACGTTTCTCTAATCATTGGGAGCTCATTAGGATTGCCTCCAGTAGAATACTTTACATCATTTACCCTTTTTAGTCATTCTCTTAGCAATGAGTCTCTGATCAATCTCTTCATAGACTGCCTCAGTCAGAGTCTTACACTTCCTCTTAGAGAGCACTGTGAGGGAGACAGAGAGAAACATGGAGCCAGTTCAGTAGAAGAGAAGACTGATGACAGATTGAAGGAGTAATGATTAGAGAATGTACAGAAAGTGGATTGTAGATGATCTCTGAATCTCTCTACCTCTCCTGAGCACTCTGTTCTGGTAAAACAGCACAACCAGAAGCACTAAGGCCAGGAAGAGCAGCACTCCCAGAACCAGGAGAGACACTGCATAGATGGATGAAACAGCTGGTGATGGAGTTTGTGGAGGAGTAACTGCTTCATTCTCTGTCTGACCAGCTGGAAATAAAAATACAGCATGGAAACTTCATGAAACATTAAACTTAGAAAAGGTTAAAAAATTCACAGAAAAGTATAAAAATAGTACCTGTGATGGTAATGGTAGTTACTCTGGATGTAACAGTGGGGGATACAGATAAGTCTGGAAAAAAAAAGGTAAAATTCACTTTCTATTATTTGAAATTTCACTTTCAACATTACCATTGTGGTCACTCATGGGAGAGTTAATCTCACTTCAGCCACTCTGGCCAGAGACCTTTTTAGACAGAGAGATGCATTTTGCTGAATGGAAATAATTGCAGTTTCAGTGGTCCCGTTGTCTTGCAGCCTGTGGCCGCTGAGCTCAGTACTACAACCAGAATGACACACTGTACCAGCTGAGAAGCTGAGTAACAGCACGCTGAGCTGCTTCCAGGATGGTCCTCCTCAGGTTAGGATGGGCTTGCAGCCTGAAAAGACCCTAAATCTCCAGCCCCACTCTCTATAGCTCGTCCAGGACTGAGCTCAACTCAGCCTGTATGTTGCCCTCACCTCTGCTTATCATGATAAGAAACACAAAGACAACTAAACAAACATAAAAGAACATTAAAACTATTATGGTGATCAATAAAGATACAGTTGTAGTTTGTAATTAGCCTTTAGATATACAACTCATAAACTCTTTAGACGTTATACAGGTTACCTATAAGAGCTGTATTGGAACAAGAGGGTTACAACCTCAGACTCTCTTACAATGACATACAGCATGGGAACATTCACAACTGCAGCACCATGATGGCAGCATTCTAAGCACAGTATGGCATGTTACCATTATAACACACTGAGACAAAGTAATAGCAAAATTATTCACACATTAACGTGAGCACAGTTTAACAAAAACAATGTAACTCTTCTCTTTAAAGCATATTTCCCCACTTGGCAAGAAAAGTGTTCAGCTCAATAAATATGACAAAAATGAAAATCAGACTGTTGAAATATACATAATAAAGGCAGAAAAAACAGAAAACTTAAAAATTAAAACCACTTAAAATACCCAAACCATCAAACCGCCTAAGCTAAAGTATACTGAAAATGCAGGCATCTATTTTTTTCTTTTCTTTTTTTTTTTTTTTACATCTGATGACTTTATATGTGGAAGCAGACAGTTTACAGATCACCACCTAAAAGGATGATGCAACTTTTATCTTTAACTTGGGTGGCTTTGGAAATTGGCACATTTTACTCTGTCTCAGTATCAGGTTTCGCTTTACTAGTGGCTCAAGCCCTCTACTGGCTCAGGGCCCTGGGCTTGTATCCATAATACCCATAGAATTATCCAGGTCTGACTCCACATTTCCTTAATTTCAAACAAATAGCAGAAATATTGACAAATACACTTAAACACACTTCTTAACTCATATTATCCATTAATTTATCTTTACTTCTGTCACATTATCTGGCCCAGTACTTTCCAAAGCAACATCAGCTGTTTACATGTTGCTCAGAATGTTCTGTTTGAATGGTCACTTCAGCTAATTATTACATAAGCTCTTGTCTACTCTTTCAAAACCCTCAAATACTCAAAGTGTATGAAGTTAACCACTTTCAAATATATCACTGTTGTCATCAAAATGATAACTTTACAGGAAAAGGAAAAACCTACTTTACTTTTAATGTAAGCCAGACCTTTTTCCAAGTCATTTTACGTCATTTATTTTGGTCCATTCATCACAAAATTTACAAACAATGTAAAGAGCAGCAGGCATTTTAAAATTATTTCAAAAACTGAAAAATGCCAAAATGGAGATACAAGGTTTTCTTGATATGCTGGTTTATATATATTTTTTCCTTTGGACTCCTTTCTAACTGCTTTCAAAACAACTTTCAATGTGCATTTCAAGTCCAATATTATTCCATGGGATCTTTTAATAACCTCCACCTAGATGTTTAAGGACATCACACTAGTTCACAAGACAGTTCACACCAGAGGTGCCCAATCCTAGTCCTAGAGATCTACCACCCTGCAGAGTTTAGCTCCAACTCTAATTCATCACACCTGATCCTGGTATGTTGAATGTGAACTCTGAAGGGAGGCAGATCTCCAGGACTGAGCCCCTCTGGTTAACACTCTTTCATCACAGACCTTCAATGTGGAGCTGCCTAATACCTCGTGTAAAAAACTGCAACTCTCTTAACTTCAAAAATGAGTTAAAACTCATTTGTTTTTACACCAACAAACTTTTTGTCTCTCTAATATGTATGTATTTACATTAACAATACATGCAACAACAATGTAATTAATGATGTATTCACTGTTAAAGAAACGATTGCAGATTGTGTAATTACACAAGGGAGTCTTAATAGTTGTAACAGTACATTTTCTTTTATGTAATTACACATGCATAATAGGGTCAACTTTTTTGTCTGTACCAGCAATTGTGTAATAACCTATACTATGAGAGTACTGACACTGCATCTGCACAGGAAATGACAACTTTACTAACATTTATGCTTGTGTCATCATTCGGTAATGTAACCAAGCAAGAACACATGACAGAAGTAAAATTGTTGTTGCATGTATTGTTAATGTGTAACTACACAGTAATTAGAAACGGCGTATGCAAAACATGCATATCACTGTTGTCAGAAGAAAACCTTGTATCTCCAAAATGATAACTTTACAGAAAAGGAAAAAACATACTTTACTTTTAACGTAAGTCAATGGAACCAGACTTTTTTCCAAGTTATTTAGGGTCATTTCTTTTGGTACTTTCATTATGAAATTTACATACAATGTAAAGGGTAACAAGTATTTTCAAATTATGTCAAAAAGTGAAATATGATACTTAATAATGTGATACGCCTACCACTGTGTTTTTTTATGTTTGTTTTGTCTGGGGTTTTTTTTAAATCATTTTGATTTTAACTTCCTTTGTTTTGCTTTGTACATGCCCTTTCTAGGCTTTTTAACATTATTTGAACATTATTTTCTATAGATAATAAATTGCAGTAGAAAAAATGTTAATGAGATAAACAATACTGAAAGTTAACAGACTCCTCTGACCTGCACAGGTGACTCCAGCGTCCTGACTGTGGGAGCAGTCAGTGTGGTTCTTCAGGGAATGAGGACAGTCCCACAGGTGAATCTCATTCCCTCTACACTTCACCCTGTTCAGCCAGATAGGCCCTTCACCAGCACCAAAGACAGCACTCCCATCAGCACTCAGCGCCGGACCACAGTCCAGCTGCCTGCAGACCACCTGAGCTTCCCTGATGTCCCACTCATTATCACAGACAGACCCCCACTCAGCATTATGATACACCTCCAGCCTCCCAGAGCAGCTTCCATTTCCTCCTCTCAGCCTGAGAGGCAGGTGCTCTACATCACACAAATCACAAATGAAGAGACACAGTAACAGTGATAAATACTGCATTTTCAAAATTCACAACAATATATGGTACAGAAAACTTCAGTATGTATGTATTGCTACTGTGGGAAAAAATATTTGGGGTCAACAATCACAAAATTGAAGCTTTGATGAATTTGAAAAACAGTTAAGAATGTACAGTCACATCTATAAATATTTGGATATCAGCATTATTTTAAGCTGTCTATCACAGCATATTGGAGTTGAAATAAATTAATGAAATAATTTGACAGACGTTCAGCTTTAATTTGAGGGTATTTAACTCACATCAGGTGAACTGTGTAGGAATTACAACCATTCTCATACATCACTCTTATATTTTGGGGCTCAAAAATATAAAAAAAAAAAATTATACCTGGTTGCTAATCCTTATGCAGTAAATGACTGTCTGAAACCTCAAACCGTAGACATCACCAGGTGCTAAATTTCTTCCCTGGGATACTCTGCCAGGCCTTAACTGCAGCTGTCATTATTTTCTATGTGTTCTTGGAATGTTGTATCTTTAGTTCTGTCTCCAGTAGGTGAAATGCATGCTCAATTGGACTGAATTCAGATGGCTGACTTAGCCACTGCAGAACTTTCCACTTTTTGCCTAAAAAAGTCTTGGGTTGCTTTTCGCAGTATGCTTTGGGTCATTGTCCATCTGCACTGTGAAGTACTGTCCAATGAGTTTTGAAGCATTTGGCTAAACCTGAGCTGATATTATAGCCCCATACTCTTCAGAATGCTGCATTTCTAAGTAGTCAAATCTGCAATAAATACAAATAAACCAATTCCATCAGCAGTCATACATGCCCACGTCATAACACTACCTCCACCAGGCTTGACAGATAAGGTAATATGCTTTGGATCATTTGCAGTTCTCTCCTTTCTCCATATGTATCTCTTCCCATCTGTCCATAAGATGTACAAGGTACTGTACTGTACCTAAACTAAGTCTTCTGTTTTTTGAGTCTTACCAGTGGTTTACATCTTGTGGTAATCCTCTGCATCCTCTCTTGATTGTGGACATAGAAATGCCTACCACTTGGATGGTGCTCTTAATATGGTCATCTGTTGTGAAAGAATTCTTCGGTCATCCTCCACAGTTATTTTCAATGGTCTTTCAGGCCCTTTGGTATTTTTTGAGCTCACCAGTGTGTTTTTTTTCTTTTTAAGAATATACTAAATTGTTAATTTTGCCACAAATCAGATGGCACACTTGAAATAAACTCTATATATTTTCTCTGCTTACATGTGTGAAATATTGTGGTATAACATACATCTGGCCACTGATCAGAAGAACAGCCTTTTGTTTAGGTTTTGTTTTTGTTTTTTAGGCCCTAAAAATGAGGGGTATGTATGAAAATGGTTGTAATTCCTACATCGTTTACTGGACTTGAATATAAGTATGCTCAAATTAAAGTTAAATATCTAATTTCAACTCCAATTCAATGTATTAAAAAGCTAAAATAACAATAACTTTGTTGGTGTTCAAATATTAGGGACCTGACTGCACTGAGCATTAGACTGCAGGAACACTTGTCCTTAGCACATCATCTCATTTTTCAAACTCTGAACTCTGTTGTGTTTGAGTGTTCTTACTTGAGCATTGACTCTGGTTAGGAAATGAGGAGCATTTCTGACGGTTTTGCAGCAAAGAATGTTTTTTCTTTCCTGTTAGTACAGAAAACAATGTATTTACTAACCAACACAAAGTTCTCACATATAACTTTAAAGAGCACAAAATCATACAGATTACCTACCAATTTCATTTCACAAATCTCAGATCTTCACTTCTGCTGTAGTTTTTATGTCTACAGTCAGACACAAATAATTCTACTAATGGTAATATCAACTAGAGAGAGAAACTGCCTACCTGAGCAGGTAATGCGGGCCACCTCATTTAGATTATCACAGTTGTTCTCTCCCCAGGATGAAGATGGACACTGCCACAGAGTGGAGTCATGTTTCCTACATTTCAGATCATCCAGCCAGTTAGGAGCTGATTCCACTCTTGCTTTAGTTTGGCTCAAACTGCCAGATCTTCCACAGTTCAGCTCTTGACAGATCAAACTTATTGTTTCTTCATCTATATCATTAACACACACATTACCCCAGGTTCCATTGTAGAACACTTCCAGATTCCCCTCACAGCCCTCAGTGAGTCTGATCTCTTTATACTCTGGTGGGAGAAGGATGCTTACTATTAAGTCTTGGAGGTATTTCAGAATCAACTTTGTGTTACATATTATATACGAACTAAGCTGAACAGAATCTTTTTAGCGATAAGTCAAAAAATAAATTCATCTTTGCTTTTATGAACTTTCTTCGTCAGTTTACACATTGTGAGCAATCCTGTTTTTTCTTTTCTTTTAATGACAGCTGCGATAAGCTACGTCTTTACACTATCTATAAGAATGTCAGTCAGCATTTTACCAGAACACACAACTCCTACATCCTCCATGTGTCCACATTCATCCTCTCCACACAGCTGAAATCTGCAGTTCCACAGTGACGTCTCGTTCACCTCACACTCCACCTCATTCAGCCATATGGGTCCAATTCCAGGTCCAAACCGGGCTGGTACCGGGGCACTGAGGGCCACTCCACACTGCAGCTGTCTGCACACCACCTGCGCATCCTCAATATCCCACAAGTCATCACACACTGTCCCCCATGAGCCGCTGTGGAAAACCTCCAGCCTTCCTGCACAGTCTCCCCCAGAACCAACCAGCCTGATGGAGCTGTGAGCTAAAATTACACATATAGAAAAGTGATAAATAAAAGTCATAAAGAGAAGAGACTTTCAGGTTCTGTCCTAAGAGTAACTTGTTTGTTCCAGTTTCATAATGCATTTATTCCACATGATAATTTCCTGCATTGAGAAAATAATGGAGAATTTTCTTTGAAATGTAGGAGCCAATAACTTGACTTTTTCTCAGAAACTTGACTTTCCTTTGCATCAGGATACACCCTTTACATTAGGTTACATAATGGAACTTTCACTGCAACTACTGAATAGGTTTTTCATCAAATGTTGTCAAACTAACCTGAATTTCAACATTACATATTGCCCATACAATATACATTTTGCTCATATATGATGTGATCTAATCAGCCTGAATTTCAAAAATGCTGGCCTAGCCAAAAAGAACAGCACAGGCAGAAAACAAACAGTGGCTATGGTGTGGTGAACATCTATATCAGACTTCTGCCACATTGAACGAGATCCATGAACTGCTTTGGTGGACATGGGGTCAACAGTCACAGTGGCCCAGCCAGAAGTGGTACCTGCTAGATACCCAGGTAGGCTGTCTGGATAGCTGAAGTCCAAGGCATATGAATTCTGGGTCTAGACTTTTTTAGAAATCATGAGTGCCCAATGGACCTTGAGCCTGCCATGCAGTACAGATGTATGGATGATTCCCCAGCCTAAGTAGTCCCCCACCCCAATGCACCCCAGGAGGAGGGGGAAACTCCCAGTTTGGTTCAAAGACTTTGTAGTCCTTAGGGAGTTTTGTAATGGGGTAGTGTAGCATGTTCAAGAAATGTATGTCATTTTACTTCCTGGTTATTTTTCTAAGGACTCTTATTATGAAGAGTGAAGAGCCACCCACAGCATTGTGGTGTTTGTAGGTACAGGATCTCTGGTGTGAATGGACATCTCCACCACATCCCATAATTGCTGGACTGGGGCAAACATGCAGGCCACATCATTCGTCAAATGCTCCAGAATGCTCCTCAAAACAATTGTGGACAACTTGGGCCTGATGGCACGGTGCATTATCATGCTGAAATATCCCGTCATTGCGGGGGGTACATGAAGTCCATGAAGGGCTGCAAATGATCACCAAGGAGTGAAACAATCAATGACGTGTTCAGGCGGACCAGTGGACCCAACCCATGTCATGAGAACACACCCCACACCAGTATGGAACCACCACCAGCCTGCACAGTTCCTTTTTGACAACAGGGGTTCATAGCTTCATGGGGTCTGCGCCCCACACAAACCCTACCCATCCGAAACAGAAAACAGTTAGTACCATGACACATCGGACTACGCCACATGTTGCCAGTCCTCTAGTGTCCAGTTAGCAACCTCACAAGCCCAGGTGAGGTGCTGTGTCCAGTGTTAACAGAGGCACTCTGGTGGATCGTCTGCTCCAATAACCCATGGAAGTTAAAGAATGCTTTACTGACCTATAGGATATGCATGTGGGGCCTCCTGAAGTGAATGTGGAGGTGATTTCTAAGTTGTTTGTCTGTTCGCCTGGACAATTCTAGCTAGATGCTGCCCGTACTCATGGGTGGCCACTGCGCTGTCCATTGTGGGTGGTAATGCCTTCTATGATGTATTCCTGGTACACACGTGGCACTGTGGATCGAGGAATGTTAAATGCCCGTGCAAAACTTTGAAAATGCAACTTTCCATCCGTCTGGCACCCACTATGATGCCTCCTTCAACGTCAATAATCACGTCGCCTTGCCATGAGCACGCTAGCCAGTGTTCAACCTCACTCACAAGATAACACTTCACAACTTAAACCAGTGTGGGTGTTTCCAAGCCACCCCCTGAGGTAACACCACTACATAATCAATTTAAATACTGCTATCCTATGACTTTTCGCCTGTCAGTGTAGTTACTTATTACACACAGTGAATTGCTAACATTAGTAGGCTAATTAGTGCAGTATCAATCATTACTTTCCCTTCAGGTTGTGCTTATTTAATGTGGCTGTCTTAAAATGAGCTTACCTAAATGTTCAAGAAACATATGAATCATCAAAAATGTTAATTACATACAGTAAACTAGACATTAAAATAATAAGCTAAAGGTTTTAGGATACTAGAAAGCAAACAACTTTTATTAATGATTGTGGAGTTTTCTTAGCTGCTTTTACCATACTTTCTAAACATGCAGACACTGCTGCACAGAGACAGGATGGATGCCCCCCCCACTGTACCTCAACCTTTCATTAGCTGAACGGGCTGGACTGGGGGCGTGTTTAATACCATTTCATTTCAGAATCAGTGTAACACAACTATATGTGGTTTTCACTGTGAAGACAATTGCACAAATTTTGAAATCTGAGCTAGAACACTTTAGTTTTAATCCAAAATGCCAATTTCTACACCTGGTTTTATTAATGTGTTCCAAATAATTCCAAAATACATACTTGAGCAGGTGATGTACAGCTGCTCTCTGGAGCTGCAGTTGACTGCTTGTGTGCTGCTGCAGTTCCCCAGATGAGCTTCAGTCCCAGAACAATTGAAACCTGTCACACACATGTGTCTGTGTTCAGAACTGGGTGTAGAGGAGCTGGAGAAACTGAACACAGAGCCACAGCCCAGCTGTCTGCAGACCACAGAGGCCTCAGACTCACTCCAGGAGTCCAGCAGAACTCTCCTCCAGTCCTGCCTGAAGTACACTTCCACCTCCCCCTCACACTCCATCCCTCCAGACAACCGCACTCGCCCCTCATTAAACGCCAGAGAGGAACCTGAAAGGATTTTTAATTTTACTAATTTCATGAGATGCTTTGCTTTTTAGATTCCCACATGAAAAACTCTGTATATGCACTTATACTTTTGACATGACTCAACAAACTCACCACTGCAGATGACTCCAGCATCCTGTTTATGAGAGCATGCAGTTCGACTCCATGATGAAATGGGACATTTTGACAGGTGTTTTTCGTTCCCCTGACAATCAAACACTTCAGCCCAGATCTGGCCACTGCCCTCCCCAAACCAGTCTGACCCCAACACAGCCACAGCACTCCCACACTTCAGCTGACCACAGAGGACACTGGCAGCTCTCATATCCCAGTTTACATCACACACTGTGCCCCACTCACTGAGGTACTGAAGCTCCACTCGACCAGAACAGGAGTCAGAGCCGTTCACCAGCTGAGCCCCAGTTTGACCTGAAAACGCAAAGAGTTTATTAAAACAGCAAGTAAACAGAAATGCAGGTACAGTAATAACCATGGCAAAACATGACGTAAGTAATTAACAGGGCCAGGTACATAAAACTGTTGATCATGTAGTGATGGTGTTATGAAAGTATTGACGTACAAACAAAAATTTTATTTAGATAAAAAACTACATAAAATAATATAAGTATAAATGATAACAAATATAGAACAGTTGTCATTTTAACTGTGAGTAAAACAGATCATACTCTAAAATTTTGTATTTTTATTTATTTATTAATTTACTTTTTTGTTTTGTATTTTTAATTTTTGTATTTGATTCCAGAGACCTTTTTTCAGCAGGGAAACTGAAAATCCTAAATTGTTACTGTCTCTAAGTATAACATTAAAACCCCACACTAAATTACTTCTACATCACAAGCCCCCTTGTTTACAAACATCTGCATATGTTTTCTATGGTTTGATTTATCTGATGGACTACAACTACCATAAACATTAAACCCCTACCTGCATTACAGCTTTTGCAACTACACTGAGCAGATCACTCAGGCAGTCAGAAAATGTTGCTCAATATTGATCAAATCACAAAGTTAAAATAGCTCATGAATAACTGACCTAGTAAATGACTACAATTTCCATGAGCGCTTTGACACAACAAAACATGATCAAAGATATACACACATGTACACATGAAGGTCTAACACACGTGTGACTGTTATCTTGTTTACATTCACACAGGATTAATTTTTCCTAGCATGTGTGACAATATTGCTGCGTTGTACAGCCCTGATTAATATCCAACATTGAAAAGCTCAAAAATTATACTTAACCAGAACATATTAGTCCCACATCACTGTCATGGGTGCAGTTGAGTCTAAGAGAAGATGATATTGGACAAAAGGTAATCTCAAATTCATTTCCTCTGCACTGAAGCTCCTCTGACCACACCTGACCCTCCCCTCTGCCAAAAGCAGCTGCTCCCAGCACCTCCACAGGAAGCCCACAGCCCAGCTCTCGACACACAACCTCTGCATCCTGCTGGTCAAAGTTAGCATCACACACCGTGGACCAGGTCTCTCCATGAAGCACCTCCACTCTCCCAGAGCACTGATGAGGACCACCTGTAAGCCTGGACTTTCTGTGACCTGTGTGTGATGTAACCACAAAACAAATGTGCATAACACACACAAAAGTTAGAAGTTCACAAGGAGATAGTTGCTTACACAGTTTTTGTTCCACACAAATCTACTTAAAGTTTACAGGTTGTGCCCAGTAGATTTTGAAATAGTGGATATTCAGATTCTAAATAGGCATTGACTTCATGTGCCAAAAAACAAGGGCAGTAATGAACAATTATTTCATTTATTTTTAGGAAAAACTGTTCCTAGCAATAGTTATACATTGTAATTGTCATGTGACTCATATCTGTGTAACTTGAGGTTTTGATTTTATGTTGTCAGTCAGTTTGATCAGAAGTTATCAGGAGGGAGGGAAATTTTCATTTCCATGTTTGTTCAAAATTGGGCTTGAATGTTACCATTTTTGTCAATTGCACTTCCCAAAAGTCTGAACTCAGTTTCAAAATACTGCCTCAAAACCCTACATTAATGTGTCTGGAAAGAGTTGATAGAGCACAATTAGCAAAACATTGGACACACAACATCGCATAGACGCAGTCCTTATTCAACTATGAAATGCAAATCATAGGTTATATTTTTGTCAGTCGGCAATGTTCATTCCACATTCACACTGGCACAGTTGTTCATTATGTAAATGTTTGCATGAAAAATATTACATATAACAAGAATTATGTTTGTATTAATAGAAATCTGAGTAGTAGTGAAAGTATGGGGTAGTGATATGGTAAGGGGGAGAGGAGTGTGCAGAGAATAGGGAAGAGGCAGGGGACAGAGATTTTCCCCTAAATTCAGGGAAATTATTTAGACTTCTTACTTGTCTATGTTGAGTTTATTTCAGTTTGTATTTTTAAAATCAAAGCAATATTCCAATTTTGCAGTTGGGTCATTCAGTATCAACTCATCTAGTACATAGCAGGTCATATCATGTGTTTCCATTAAACACTTCAACCAAAACATTTTAAGAAAATTTCACAGCTGCTAGGCTTGTTTAATTTAATGTTTCTTTAATTTGCTCAATTTAGTTCTAAATCACATTTTAAATATTGAATATAACTGCTTACAGAATGACTGAAGTGAACTGAAATATTCAATGGGTATAAACGTCACAATAATAATATTGCAATAAGAATAATAATTTACTAGATTCATGATACTAAACTCCCACAGCAGGTTAATGGATTCATATCAGAGCATATTTCCTCTGTTAAGTGTAATCTTATAATGTGAACATTTTTGATGAATTTGTGCACTATTTATTTTGTATTTCCTCATTTCTGAGTCTTCTGAATTGTTAAATTGTGCATGCAGCATTTGTTCAGAAACTAAAATCCATTTCACCCATTTACTGCATATTTTCTTAAAAGTGACAAATCCTATTTCATTCAAACATTTTTTTCTAAATTAAGAAAATTATGTCTCAATGACAAATAAATTAAAAAAGTAGCTATGACTTCTTTAAGGTTAATTTTTAGCGTTTGAGTAAGACACATCATTCCATGGCAACTTTTGAGAAAAGGAAAGTACTCAGGAGAGACTACTGTAAATATTACTTTTCTATCTTTTATGTATGATACCATAATTGTCATTATTATAAGTTTACTAATAGTCTCATTATAATGACAATTATTATACTAAAAATACACTATACACTATTGTTAGTTATTTGCTTTATTGTATTTATTGTATTTAGGGGCCTGATGTTTAAATGAATTTCATTTTTATAGATTATGGAAAAAAAATATGTATAAAAATGTGTTAATGGGTTTTATGCGTGTCATTACTCATGCCTGCACATAATGACTTTGATAAACATTATATAAAATACTTGTGTAATTCTGTGTAAATAATTTTTAAAATTGGTAATAAATGCATTTATTCTGTTTTAAATGAGACTTTATGCTTCATGCTACTTTAAGCTACTTTTAAATGTTCATTTGAATTTCTATTCATTCCTATTTCTGTTTTGCATAGTTAATCATCATATAAGTAATATCAGCATTATATTTTATCTGCTTTTAGAAGGAAGTAGCAAGACACAGATGGAAATTTACTGCATGAAAAGCTCTACACAGGAAGTAGGCAGTAGGTTGAATAAGGATGGCTGGGATGCATAAGAGGGTATTGGGATATTGGGGAAGGGGCAAGATAAAGAAAGAGTGGAGGGATGAAAGTTCACTGAGGATGAGATAGGAGAAAAGGGAAATGGGAGATGTGAGGAGAATAGTGATGCAACACATTTTCCACAATTCAATACAATCTGTGTCAGTATTTCTATTGGAAATATTACCAGGTTAACAACAAGTTAGGTGTGTCTAATAGAGTGGACAGTGAGTGGACACAGTGCAGTTTACAGAGAAACAGATGGACTACAGTCTATAATTGTAGAACCTATATGGTAAGTGGAGCTGATAAAAGGAATAATGAGGGTAGATACAAGGAGGTGCACTTGATGAAGTGGCCAGTCAGTGTATGTCAAATGTTCCAAACTACTGAATATTAGTCAGTTAATTCCCTTCATTTGCATTATCTTACATTTACTTCTAGGGACTAAATAATTTCTTCCTATGTTTGTGCATTATTAATTATTTGGTAAGATATTTAGTTGTTTAAGCTTCTGTGTAGCTTTTCTTCAAGCAGTAGGATTTTGTATTAAAAATGATTGAAACATACCTGAACAGTGAATTCCAATATCTATAAGATGAACACAGCTATGTTTGCCCCAACCCAGTGATCCACAGTTTTTCAGTGTAGACTCTGATCCACTGCAGTCCACATGACTCATCCAGATTGGTCCAGATCCTGGTGCAGCAATTTCCACACTCAGTGGCTCCCCACAGTCTAACTGTCTACACACCACTGCAGCGTTAATTACGTGCCAGATAAAAGCACACACTGTTCCCCACTGTCCTCTATGAAAAACTTCCACTCTCCCAGCACAGCGACTGCCACCATCCACCAACCTCACACTGTCTGTGACAGAAAGAGTTAGAGAGAATATAGGAGTATATTCATGACAAGACCAAATCAGAGTCATAATACAACTTGGTTTCAACATGAAATGTGTTTAATGTGTTTAAATCTGATACCACTCTACATGCATTAAATAAATTAATTAATAAATCACATACCAGAACAAACTAGTGCCACATCACTGTCATGGGAGCAGCTGAGTTTGAGTGAAGATGATGTTGGGCAAAAGTGAATCTGAGATTCGTTGCCTCTACACTGAAGCTCCTTTGACCACACCTGACCCTCCCCTCTGCCAAAAGCAGCTGCTCCCCGCACCTCCACAGGAAGCCCACAGCCCAGCTCTCGACACACAACCTCTGCATCCTGCTGGTCAAAGTCAGCATCACACACTGTGGACCAGGTCTCTCCATGAAGCACCTCCACTCTCCCAGAGCAGCGAGAACCACCAACCAGCCTGACTCCTGAAATATTGCAAGAAAAGATAATTCAAGGAGGTCTAAAAGTACAAAAGTTTAAATTTTAGGAATTATACTAATGTTTTTAGGAGAACATTGTCACTGTCTGATTTAATGTAATTAATACTGTACAACACAGCAAGTGTACACAGCAAGTAGTGCACAAGATCCATAAATGCATTTCTAGAGCAGTTTATAAAGACAGCACTTAAACTAGTGCAATGACTCCTTTCTCTGTTTGTAAATGGATATAGTTTTTCTTAGACCTCTACTTAGACCTCCACTACATAAACCCCCTTAGCTTGTTTACACTTTGCGAGGTATTGCCTTTGCTTACAGAGGCTTACTGAGCCTTCCAGTCTGTAAGTTTGCTTCTCCATGTATGACCATTGCTTTGTTTGTTTTTTGACCTTGTCTTTTGCCTAGCCCTCTTAGTATTGTTGGTATTTCTGGTTTGACCTTCTTTTCTGGATTTTGCTTTTGACTTTGGACTGGTTTACCTTGATTTTGGATACACCTTTTTCCAATAAACCCATTTTATTTCAGTTTGGTCTGCAAGCATCTGAATTCTGTCTGAACCTGACAATTAGCATTATCATGGTATTAGTGATAAATGTGAGGTCTGGCCATATTGAACGTGTAAATGTAAAAATACACATACACTTCCAAACAGCTTTAAAATATATTCCTTGTGCTAATTTGATGTTAATAGTATGACAGAATTTTTATATCAAATGTAGATCTAACAGTAAAAAAAACTCATGTCAACAGGATGTCAGAATACTTAAATTAAAGAGAATTCCTCTGTAATGTGTTGTTATTCAAGGTAATAGATTTTACACTACATGAAAAATTATAACATGACTTTCCTTTGTGATAAAAGGATACTTAAGTAGTGCTTAATTGATTATATACTGAAGTTAAGTTATTTTTAAATCACTAATTTGTATTAAATCACTACTAATGAGTACTTGATACATATTCATAGATTATCTATTCTAGGTATATTAGTTATGTTATTTTTGCCAATCTTATGATATAATTTATATAGTATACTACTCTGTGCTGCTAAACTGAACTCTAAAAATACATTAAAATTGTTCTAAAATTATTCCTGTAGTACTGCCTAAGTGCTCTTTAATCACATAATTAGTATATCAGTTTATATAGTCCTGGTACATAATTAGTATATTTACAAATACTGTACAATTTTTGCAGGACCATGTTTGTCTGTACTCGTACTACAGTGTACTCAAATACATGCTTATAGAATACCTACTAATCATACACTGTACTACACTCAGCCTTTTAATAAATGCACATTAATGACTATGACATTAATGACCAATAACATGATTGGATTAACTTAGTGGTTCCCAGCCTTAGTCCTGGAGAACACCTGCCCTGCACATTTTAGTGCTTTCCTGCTCCCAACTCATCAAAACAATAATCTCTGTATTCTCTATAAGGAATTCCAATACATTTGTGTTGGCTCAACAAGTGTCACTCATCAAAATCAGCAGCTCCTACTGGAACTGTTTTAGCTTTTCATAAACTTTAGTGGTGTGTGCAACACAATAAAAGCACAATGGAAAAAATGCATAAAAGGAAAGAATAATCATGATTGATGCCAACATTCACTTAAATGTAAGTGAAGTCCCTACACAATATTCAGAGTGTCTGTGGTGATCACATGATCTAACATTGCAGGAATTCAAAGGACACTGTGAGGGAGTTTCTGTTTTCTGACCACTGAAGACGAAAGACTTTAATGATAATCTTAAAATGAAGTACATGTGTAATGTGACAGCTGTTTTGTGATGATAAATCTCTAAAATTGCTGTATTGTGATTCATTTAAAATTGTTCTAAAATTATTTCTGTTCCCACCCAACCGTTCCCAACATCCTAACACCATCTCCACCCCATCCCTACATGCTTCAACACAGCAGATCAAATGACACAGGTCTGGTGTCTGTATTGAGCTGTTAACATTTACCACAGACAAATCCAACATTGGGTCTTTGAAATGGTAAGAAAACAACATCCATTCTGTCAGGTGCTCCCTATATATACGTTAAAAAGATTATGGTTATGTTGAAATCAGCAAACCAATGTAGCCCCATAATTTTTAAAAGAATACATACTCAAATCATAAATAATGATAGAAACATGTATGTGATTAATGAATCCAGGATCTAGGCTAAGTTATGTAAGAGTTATGTAAATGTACTGGAGAAAGTAAATAGTTAAACTAGCTAAAGGCCAAATGGAAAGTAATTGATTTTGTCACTAAGATAATGGAATCCTCAGAAGCAGAATATGCATGTAACTGATAGTTAATAGCCAGAGGTGAATACAATAATTGGGAGGGGCGAGGTGTTTAGCTCCTCCCCACCACTCCCCCTCCTGGGACACAACTGTATTGGATGCAAGCTGTTTTTCCATGACCCTTTATGTTTACATTATACATATATAAACACTATGGCCGAAATGATGCTGACATCAGTTCAGGGTTTCTGCCACACCCATTGCTGAAAGATATAAAAATTATTTTAAAAAGTATAAAACCATATAACAATGCATTCTTCTCCATAGACAAATATTGGCAATAGAATAGGTTATACTGAAGAGACCAGTGACTTTAAATGTGGCACTGTCATAAGATGTACTTATTACCCTTCAGTCCTTGAAATTTCTGCCCTGGTCAAATGTAAGTGCTATTATTATGAAGTGGTAGACCACACAAATTCACAGAATGGAGCTGAAGCATGTAGGACTCACTATAGAGCGGTGCATCACTACAGAGATAAAAACTGCCTCTGAAAGCAACATTAGTACAAGAACTGTGCATCAGAACTTCATGAAATGCGCTTCCATGGCCACACCAGCCTAAGATCACTACACACAATGCCAAGCATCAGCTGGAGTGGTGTAAAACACCTGAACTTGTACCAAACACCTTTGGGATTAATTGGACTGTTAATTGTAAGCCAGGCCTTTTTGTCCAACAACAGTGCCTGATCCACAAATTCTCTTTTTACTGAATGAGCACAGATTCTTAGAGACAGACCCCAAAATCTTGTGGAAAACATTCCCAGATCAGTAAAGGCAGTTATAGCTTTAAAGAGGAGGTCAACTTTACATTAATTCACATGGTTTTGGAATAGGATGTCCAACAAGCTCAAGATAGTCAGGTGTCTACATACTTTTGGCCACATGGTGTATAATGCAGGAAAATACTGCTTTAAAAATAATTGCCGTATTGCTTAGAAGGTGCATGAAATCACTGTGGTTCGTGCCATTGAGCCCTCCTGTAGCCAGTGGGCAGTCCTACCAGTCCTTGTCAAAAAGAAGAATGGCAGCTGTGATTCTGTGTGGACTACAGGTGGCTCACTGTGGTCAGCAAAACATATACATACCCTCTGCCTCGCACTGATAAAACCGTCAACACCACTGCTGGCTCACAGTGTTTCAGGTCCCTGGACCTGTGCAGTGGTCACTGTCAGTTTGGGCTCCAGAGGCCAAGGTGAGAGTGGTTGGCTACAGTGGTTCACTGACTAGCTATGAAGGCCTACCATTCCCAAATGGATAGCTTAACATTGTGAGGGAGTCTTCTCTATCAGCGCTAAGCGATGTCTTTTACCAAGGTTTGGTAGCATCTGGTAACCAAACCGTTACAATAGACTTGTAATGGACTTGTATGACTTCATATGATCATCGTTGTGTTTTGCCTTTGTCTTTTGGATTTGACCCATGGCTGTTTTTTGACCAAGCCTTTGCCTAACTCTATTAAAACAACTTTAGCCCTTTTTCTCCGCAAGCGTCTGGATTCTATTGATGTGTCACCTTGCCTATCATGCAGATGGCGGAACAGGAAGCCTTGCATAAGGCTCTGACAGAACAAGGGCAACTTCTGGTCGACACCAGCAGGTACTGTCCGGCGTGACGCACTCTCTAGAGTCACTGGCTCAACAGCAGGTAGAACAACAAAAACAGTTGGCCCAACTGGTCGTTAGTGTTAAAGGATTAACTGGACAACTACCGAGTATGAGCTTCACAGACCCATCAATAAGTCCAGTGCAGTCCAACACGGCAGCTGAAAATTCCGGAGCGGTTTTCCTGGTTAGTAAACCCGATAAGTTCGAGGGAGACCCGGAAAAATGTAGAGGATTTCTGCTACAATGCTCAGTCTTTTTGGAAAATTCCCCCCATAGCTCCGATCAAGCCAAGATATCTTTTGTTGTCTCCAGATTAGCTGGGAAAGCATTAGAATGGGCTACTGCTAGCTGGAATATGATTCATCGCTTGACCTATGCTCAATTCATTACGCAGTTTAAGACTGTTTTTGATCATCCTTATGAAGGGAAAGCCAGCGGGGAATTGTTGTGTAAGCTGCGCCAGGGAACGCGCTCTGTGGTCAAGTACTCGCTGGAATTTCGAACTCTCACTGCGAGCAGCGGGTGGAATGAGGCAGCGCTCTTGGTGATCTTTCGACAAGGTTTAAATACTGAAATCCTTAACGAACTAGCTAGTAAAGATGACGATTTGTCATTAGACCAACTCATCACTCTAGCTATTAAATTGGATCATCTATTGCATTCTCGTCCGAGATCTAAGATCGCTTGAGATCAGAGAAGGGGAAATCCTCGGGGGCGGGTTCTGCTGGAGAACACAGAGACCACAGAACCTATGCAGTGTGACTCTTCGCGATTATCTCCAGAAGAAAGGCAGCACAGATTGTAGAACCATCTTTGTTTATATTGTGGCAAGGCGGGACATCAAGTTTGCAAGTGCCGAACCCGGCCACAAAAAAGCAAAGCCCCGACCCCTGGACAGCACGTGGAGTTCACTTCACGTGCTAGTGTGGTGAGTGTGCCCACATGGGGGTTGGTTTCTAAGTCTTTAATGTTGCCAGCAACTATATACTGTCATCCACATTCTCTTGTAATTTCAGCTCGGACTGACTTGGGCGCCGAAGGAAACTTCATTCACTCCAGCCACGTA